CCACTCATTGCCCAGCCTGTATTTGTGCTTAACGTCTCTGTAGTGTAATGAAGCTAACAGATCGGACTGCAGTTTTCTACAGTTAGAAAGAAACCTTCCTTTTCTAGTCTGTAGGCCTCAGTGTGCCCAGTGATTGAGAAGAGTTTCAGGCTGGGTCAATTAAGGGCAATGTTAGCTCATGGGTAAACAGAATAGAAAGTAATTAAAGGTGGGAGAATTGTGTGATTATAGGCAGGAATGGGTAAACGCTGAATAATCTTCTACATCTTTTTTCTACACTTTGGTATCTGTATTGTTTCAGATCCTGAAGTTGTACCATTTTGTGCCAAATTCTGACTTTGTACTAGGGCTGGTAAGTAGCATGGAGGGGGTTAAAAAAAAAAAAAAAAAAAGATAATTTAGTGTTGATAATTTAGATCTGTGTTATTCTGATGTCTCGATTTTTAAAGCTAAATGGTCTCCCCTGTCACAATTCAGGTATAACTTCAGAGAAATGACCTTTTAATGACTTCCTTCGAAGCCTGAGAGGAAGAAGAGGCTAGGTTTCTGTATATCTTGCAATGTCTCTCTCCTGCCATGATGGAATATAAGTTAAAGCAGCTTTTTACTGGATTGGAATCAGTGCAAATTAGAGTGCTAGATCTATTTTGTGTCATGCATATTCATTTGGAAAAGGATGCAAGTAGCTGCCCTATCAGAGTGGTGTCTGCGGTGGTGTAAATGAGTGCAGCATGGACTGTAGGAGAGTGAGGGTTTTTCCCCCTTCCATCTGACTAATGTATTAGCGATTGTAATTGTTCTATACCAGCTGTCAGCTCCCATTGCAAAATGGCCATAACTTTTCTGATTCTGTTTTTGACTGATTTCTCGTTATTCCTGCACATCGTGGTGTGTTCTGATTAGCATTCTAGAGCAGCTGCTCTGGTGATATTAATGAACTAGAACACTTTTATCATTAAAAAAACCCCTAAACCCCACAATGCTTGTCATATTATACTCTGGTAAGAAGCTAGGTAAGTCTAAGGATAAATTAAGATATTGTAGTAGATTTTAATGTAATTCTGATATTATGCACTTTGTTTCTCATAATGCAACTATATGCACAGAATGAGCATTGTTGCCTTTGTGTACCCACCGCTGTGTAAAACTAAAAATTAAGTGGAAGTAGATAATCCTGTATTCCAACGTGCAAAGTAAATTCAACATTTGAGCTACACCAGCAAGATAAACCTGCCAATGTGTATAGAGACTGACTGGTAGAAACTAATTTCTCCTGCCCCTCTCCATCCCAACTCCCTTTGATTCTTTTATATTCTCTGGTTCTTCTGTTGATTTGCCTTCTGTGGTTTGGCAGTGTAAATCCTTAGCCTGACTCTTTTCCATCATACTCATGCCTTGCTGGTCTATCTCTGGTGGAAAACATCTTTGTTTCAGGCCTTTGCTATTTCTCCCTGACTACTGCAGATTCTTTCATTTGTTGGTTTTTTTTTGTTGTTGTTTTTTTTTTTGGTTTTTTTTTTGTTTTTTTTTTCTTCTTCTCTACCTCTGAGGCTTACTGGATCAGTATGGAAGGCTTGCAGCCTCTGGCAATCTCTCTTGGAACCTCTCCAGATTTTGTGGAATTAGGTTAGCAGGACACTTAGCCTGTAGTCTCCTTGCAAATCCATTGTCTTGCAGGGGGAGGCGGGAAGCGGGTTTGTAGTTGACATCAGTAAACATTAGCAATTCCCTACCTTGGCCATCTGCTAACATCCGTAGTGTTTCAAGAAGTTTAAACTGCACAGGAGGCATCTCTGACCTTAGAAGTGCCTGAATCCTTTCTGCCACACCTTCCTCCAGCATTTGAACCTTGTTAACAACTAGAAAATGGAGAAAAAAAAGGCATTGATGTGAAGCTCAGTAACTACACAAGCATCTGAAAATATAAATATTACATAACTGTTCTGAATCTTATGCTCCGTTATGCTCTTAGCAAAGGGTTCAACTTGTTAGAGTGCTCAAATTGAAGTCAGGACCACCTGACTGTTTAGGCTTCTCTTTTGAGCTAAAAACTTCCTAGGAATTGCTGTTACAATGTTTTGGTTACTTCTGATCTCAGCCCTTGCTGGAATGAAGTGCATAAAAGAGGATAAACACAGCATTGTTGTTTCTCTTCCATTTTCCAGTTGTAATAACTTGCCCACTCACATGAGCAAGTCTTTCCTATGCTTGCTCATCTTAACTGAACTGGGTGGCAGATGTGATTTACGTAGCCATATTTCTTGAGAATGAATTTTAGTTTTGTATTTGAGCTCACTGATCCCCTGCTGTTCATGCCTTTGTTTCTGTGCTCTCCTAATTCTTGCGTCTTTGCTCCCGTCAGTGCAGTAATCCTTGGTAATAATCAGAAGCTTGTCTGGGGAGAGTCTTAAATGCTGCTTAACTGTGCTACCAAAAGCTGTTTCCTCTAGAACAATTTTCCTCCTGTCTTCTGCATGCCTTTTTTTGAGTGGGGTTGGGGGGAACTTTTTTCTTTTTTCTTTTTTTTTTTTTAATAAGCACATGTTCTCTTTAAGATCACTACTTGAATTAATTGAAGACTTCCCCTGTGCCTATTTGCAAGTGTTGGCCCATACTTGATTCATTTTTATATTATGATTTATTTGGATTTGCACTCAGTCTCCCTCCCTGGCCCTGAGGTAGCAGACTGTATATTGTTGAAAGTGATAAGAGTTTCTGTATTTCTGAAAGTGATATATATTTTGTGAGGGAATGTCTTACAGCTTCCGTATTCTGTTATTTTTAAAAATTGATGAGGAAAATAACAGTGTGGGAATAGCATTTTAAGTGCTATGCATTAGCCACACACTTAGAAAGATCTAAAATAGTTTGCAATAGACTTAAAACACAATAGATAACCAAAATAGACTTTGCATTGGTACATTGATATTTTATAATTGCAACTTGTGCCTTTAAAAGTACAACTGTAAAGAACATTAAGATCTACTGGTACTATCTGTAGCAGTAAGATAGGGGTGAGGTTGTAGCTTGCAGCCACATTTTCCTCAAGTTTTAGATCCTGTAATCTTTGCAAGATCAGCTGTGTTCATTGCTTTGTTAAGGAACTCCCAAGGAACACCCCGGCTTGGCATTGCAAAACTTGGGCCTTGGTATTCGTTGAGGAATGGGATCTGTTGTGAGTTAGATTGTTTCAAGGGAAACTACATCAAAATTGCTATTTTTCAAATGAGATTAACTGGTATCTTTGCTGCTTGTAATCATGAAATCCTATTGTACGTATTGCAGGAGTGAAGTCAATGAGAACTGAGCATGGGACACTCCTAGGCTTATAGAAAAAAATCCAGCTTTTCATTCTAATAAGGATAGTTACATTTTCCCTACTAAATTACTCTCCTAATTTCAGCTGGATGGCTTTCCATGATTTTTCATGGTTCTGTGATTCTATGATTATCTTCTAATGGCTCTGTGTTAGGTTGCAACTTGGTCAAAATACTGCATACTCTATTAGCACAAAAAAGCAATTTGCACTTTCTCTGCTGATGTGAGTGTTGGTAGAAAATCTCTTTGCAGAGAAATAAAATAGGCACATGGGCTGGAAGCAGTGAGGGGCTTATGGTGCAAAATACGTTTATTAAAATACTGAATAGACAGACATGGCTGGATATTGTGATCCAAAGAGTGTGATAATACTATAAGCCAGACTAAATAAATTACTTGAGATTATATCAAAAGTAAGTTGAAAAAAATAGGTAAAGTTCTGAAGAGAGCTATCTGTAAGAAGAAATGAGAGTGTATCAGGCTTTAAAAGGAAGTAATGGAGGCAAAGTAGCAAATAGTATATTCTGGGGTTCTCACTTGTTCACAGCAATGATTATGTATAAAACTGTTAAACCAAGCATGCTGGCTAGCTTACATAATAAAATTGGCAGACAACTTCAAGTTCTTATTTTAAGAAAATATTGTTGGTGTCATGCTCTGCTCTGGAGTGCTGTATAGCAGTGTAAGGACAGCATTGCAGGGTGCCATAGTGTTAAGACTCTAGCAAGACATTTTTGGCCTGAATTGCACTTTTGTATGGAAGCAGTAAATTTGAGATGAGAAACAGCACAATTTTCTGGTGTGTATTAACAAAAGATCATGAGTAGAATCATAGGATCAATCATTTGGGTTGGAAGGGACCTCTAAGGGTCACCTAGTCCAACCCCTCTGCGGTGAGTAGGGACATCTCCAATTAGATCAGGTTACTCGGAGCCCTGTCCAGCCTGACCTTGAATGTTTCCAAGGATGGGGCTTCTACCACCTCTCTGGGCAACCTGTTCCACTGTTTCACCACCCTCATCATAAAAGAATTCTTCTATATATCTAGTCTAAATCTACCCTCTTTAGTTTAAAACCATTACCCCTTGTCCTGCTGCAACAGGCCCTACTAAATACGCCTCCTTTAGGTATTGTAGTTTGGGTGCTACAAAGGCTGAATTTGTGATGAATGTTGACTTTTTGGAAGAAGAGCAGATTTATGAAGTCTGTACCAGCTGTGATGTGATAACACCACCCCGTACTCTGTATTTTAAGCAATAAACCCTGTTCTGCATCTTTGTCTTCAACTGCTGTATGCTGTTACTATGAAACCATTTCAGCAGCTGGCAATGAGATCATACTTTATTTAGATGAGAAGTCCTGATGAATTATTCAAATGTATATGTCTCTGCAGGGGGGAGGAAAGGTCAGTTGCCCCTCAGAATATAAGGAATTGGAATTGGTGACTTGGACAGAGCTGCACAGATCTCCATTAAATGACCCATCTTTACAAAGAATCACAAGTCAATTATCTTCAGAATTTGTACCTGGTATAGCAAGGTTTCGAAGTGCACTGAGTGCAGCATGTTGAACAGAGATGTCCTCACTCTCTACGTGTTTCTCCAAAAGATCCAGAAGTTGATGTATGACTCCAAGATGTACCATTCGTACACAGTTGCCGTCTGAAGAAAGAGGCAAAACCAAGCAGGTAAGAGAGATAGGAAACACAATGACAGAAATTAATCATGCAAATTGAGAATTCAGAGTATCTGCTGTGGCTGTTCTCATGTCTTGTTAAGATTGAGATGTAGCTTTTGCATTTTTTTTTTTTTTTACAACCTTCAACTCTAGAGAGAATTGGGCATCAGCCACCTGTGAACTGATGCTGAGACACCCTCTAGTAAAGCTTGGCCTGAGAGAGCTTTCTAGGGACAGTCGCTATCAAATCCAAAACCATGTGTTCTCCAGTCAGTTTCTTCCTCAATACTGCTTTATTTTCCACTATATATATGCAGTGGAATGCTGGTGGCATTTTCCATTTCTCCACAGGATAGCTTAAATACTCCAATTTTGCTATTCTACTGGTTTAAGAGACTATTGTGAGACCGGGGATCTTATCCAGCAATGGTGAGTCTGATTACTAGTTTTGTACTGCTATTACTCCTTGTAGTGAGTCAAATAATTTATCATTAAGTAAACATTGAAAGAATTGGGCCTAGACCTGTTTTGAGAAACCCGCTTTCTGAAATGAAAATTCTAATTCTGTTGCACTTATATGCAGCTAGGAAAATATGAGTTGACCTAGAGATTTCTGATCTATTTAATGCTGGTGAAAGAGGAGATTTGTGCATTCCAAAGCACTACCATTTTGCCCACCTGCAATATTTTGTCGATGCATGTCTCCTCTTTGAGAATTTGCTCTGCGGGGGTGACAGCCCTTTTGTTACCTGCAGCTCCTCAGCTCACCTTGATAGGAAATGAGAAAGTGTTCTCCTAAAGAGCAGACAAAACCCCTCCATATTATGTCTGTATCCTTCCTGAAGGAAGTGTTTTGAAGATGCTATTTGGCAAATATTTTTCTGTATTTTATTTTATACAGTTTATTATACCTCAAGAGAAGCATATTCCTGCCACCAGTCAACTTTTTCTTTTTGCTGTGCTGTGAATACCATTTGTTAAAATGTGGGAAAACAGTGTGAACATTGTATAGGAAGACCAGGCCTTCACCTGGAGTAAACAGTTATCTGTGAAACTATATAGACTTCATACAAATACAGAATCTGTCCAAAAGTAGCTTTAGGTGCTTCTCATGGTACTAATTGCATGCCTGAGATGTACAGACTTCTAATTTTTGTGTGTATACCGCTTAAAAATGGCTCTAGTAATTTTAACACCTTTGCTGGTTTGAATGTTATTTCTACCCCAAAGTAGTAGAAACTCTTCTATGTTGTCTTTTGAACTAATGCCTACTATTCCTTTAATCTCTTAGCATTTCAGTTAGTAACATATTTTCCCCGTGTTACTACATATGTTAAATAAGAATTTGTCAAATGCTTATAAAATATAAGTGGATATTTTATGAGATAACTGTCAGTCTGAAATAGCTTGAATTCTACTTATGCAAAAATCTTTTGATATCAGTTTATGCATACATTCTTTAAAGCTGATGTTTTTGCTTGTGATTCTTCAAATGTTCTCTTGTCTGGTCCTAATCTTTAGAGATGAGAGTATATGAGGAAAATATCTCAGTCCTCTTTAGAAGTAGACCATCTCTTTTGGTCTGACAAAATTCTACAGGCAAAATACTTTGATCTTCATATAGACTAACCTTAATTGAACTTAATTTATCTCCTCCCCCCACCTTTCAAACCAAAGAATGGCAGAGCATTTTATTCTCTTGTAGTAAAGTGCGAATAGGCAGAATCCATTAGTAGTTGCCTTGCTTTGATTGTCACAGATCTCCAAATTGGTTCTCTCTCCTATGGATTTTTGCTGGGATAGCAGCAGAACCTCCAATTTAATGGCTCATGTTAAAGTCTGATAGGAACAGCCACTTTCATAGTTGCCAAAGCTGTCTGTCATCTTTTCACTGCCTCAGAAGTCATTTGATGCTGAGATCAGATTTCCATAGGATTTTTTTTCTCTTAGATTAAAGGCTGAGCATACATCAGTGCACATACTAGGGCCTGAAAAGGATTATTCACTTTTTCCACATGAAAAATCTAATGGGGTTCTGGGGGAGATGGAGGGAGAAGAGCAGGTGACAAAGCCAGCCATTCAGTTGAATAAATTGAAGATACCCATTTTAAAGGCACCGAGGGCATTTCTGTGGCCTTTGTAGAACAGTGATGCACAATGGCTGATTCAGAGCAAGGTATAAGACAAAGAAGAAAAGGAGTTTAGGAAGAAGGGTGGGGGAGGTGGAGAGGTGTGTGTATGATAGCTTGGTTTAAAATAAAAAAAAAAAAGACTGACGAGCTAAACATTGACAGATGTGAGGGAATCTTTTATGGTAATTAAGCACATATTAATGCAGAAAGGTGAGCAATGTTGAAAAAGCTCCTTTTTGTTAATTGAGTTTGAACCCAGTACAGTAGAAAGGACAGAAAACATGGTGGGGTATCTTCTGCTGACTGATTCGGCATAGCATGCTTTCTGGGGGTCTCTTTGTTTTTCTCTCTGCATAGTATTAAGGCTCATTGCTTTCCTGTAATAGAAAAGTGTAAAAGATAAAATGGCTTATCTTGAGATTGCTTTTTTTTTTTTTTCCCCCTTGATGTGTCTGAGTAACCCTCCCTTCCTAGAAGTGACTTAAAACCTAAAACATCAATAACTGTATGTTATATTTTATATTTCTAAAAAAATGTGTTTGCCATTAAACATTTCCAGGGTGGGATAGTGTGTGATTTTTGGGGGGGAAGTACAAAAGCTTGCATACTTGACCACCCTGTTTTTCTTAGTTGTGTCCCTCAAACTACTTCAATATCTTTAGCATCTGTAAATAAAAGGTATGCAAGTCTCCAGTCTACAGAAAAGCAAGAAAGTTACTGTTTCAGAGCAAGGGAGCAATGAAATCTAATAGTGTTGCTTTGCTCTTCACTCACACACTCTCAAACAGCAGCTTTCCATCTTTGAACAATAGAGAATAACCAACCTTACAGTTTTTTTTTGTAAAATTAGCAATAGCTGTTGCTGCTGTCTCTGTAGCTGTATGTGTTTGGATGTGCTGTAAGTACGAACATTCTGGGAGATGATGCCACATCCCTTAGCAAAAAACTTATGCATGTACTTATCTGTGGCATGATAAATAGAGATAACATCTCATGTCTGTTTACACTTAGCCCCAAAGTGAAGTGTTCTATCTATCTTTGGGAGATTCAAATCAAAGATGACTTAAAGACTGTTGTAGAGTTAACAATTTAAGGCCTTTAAATTCTTGGTTGCTTGGCAATTGGGGGTTGTGGGATGCAGTATAAGTGTCCAGTTCTTGAAGTTTTATTCTTTAATCTGTATTGTCCAAAATACAACATAGCAGGGCCACCTAAACTAAATTACTATTAGGTCCTTAGCCTTTTTGTGTTGTTCCTGAAATAATCTTAAAGACTTAGTGAAAAATCTAGGTGAGCAATGTGTGTAATCTGTTCCTAATAGATAGATGCAGAATTTATAATACAGGAAAGTTCTTATATTTCATTTGTTAATCCAAATGCTTAAAGTATGTACACAGGTTTGGAATAGTGAATGAGGAAACATGAGTAGTTCAATACCATGTGAACTAAATCTGATTATTAGCTTTAAATTTAAAACTGGCTCTTAGGCCAGCTTTGAAAGTAAAGTTCTAGAAGCTGGATGTGAACTGACAATATGACTGGAGGCAAGTATGTGCTTGAAGGGAAGCATGGCAACATGAGCACCAGACTCCCACAAAAAATGAGAAAGTGTGGTGCCTGAGAAGAATTCACCTGAAGATTATGAAACAGGTTGCAGATGTGTCCCTGTTAAGGAAATTAAAGCAATGGAGCAGATGGAAACTCCTCTGCTAAGAGGACTTTTTGATGTTATTTCTTTATGTATCTGAACTGTCAATATTCCTTTTTTTACCTCCAAGAAGCAGAGAGACAATGAGATCTGATGCCGCCTTCAAAACGCATGTATCTTCAGCTTGTGAACTACCTTGGAGCCTCAGCAGGATCTCGGACAGCACTTCTTGCACTCCTGCCTCCACCAACTGCACTTTCAGAGCATCTGTAGAGATCACAGTAAAAGCATACTAAAAGCTTCTTGCGTTTTTGAGTGTTTCAAACTAGGAAGCTGAACCCTTGAACTTCAGACAGTCTTTTTTTCAGATGCAGTCACTTTTTTGGTTTTGTTTGAAACCGATTCTGGTGCTAGGATGACACCAAGGCAAAATGAGCAAAGTTTCTGCATTGATCTTTGACATTTCTTGTATTGCTAGTCATGAGTTTTCATTTCTTTAAAATCTGTATCGAGTGTCTAGATATTTTTACTAGATTCTTGTTGGTGCTTGTCACAGCACTGCTCAGAGGAGACATCTTCTATGATATTTAGTTGTAATTTTTTTTTTTTTAATAAAAACCAATCTGTTTAGTCTGCTTTCCTGTTTCAAACACATATTCTCCATGGTGTGTATCTGCTGTCTTATGGGTCCACCACAAAAGAGTGGAATACTACTCTCTCCCTCCTTTCTTTGTTGCCTCACCTATTAAGCTTCAAAGTCTTGCTCAGGCCAGGATTTCCTAGGTTCTTGTAGCTTATTTCCACTGAACGGATGACTGGTTCCAGTAGTAGGATCCTATGGCAAACTCGTAACCCAGAGCTTAAGCTAAGTACCGCTGCCCTCTCTCCCCTCATTCCCCTAAGATGAAGAAAAACTTACCATTTTCTGCAAGTGCTTGCAGGACCTCGAAGACAATTTCTAACCTCTCATGGTTTTCTGCTCTTTTCAGCTGTTTCACCAGCTGTTCAGCAACCTTTGTCTTGCTTAGAGCTTCCTTGGCTGTATCTGTGTGTATGATAAAGTCAGGATTTTGAGTGTTTCTTTATCTGAATAAATGTTAAAAGCATATCTCCCTATAATCTGAAGTGATTAGACGCTACTTTGTTTTGAATGCTTTTTCTGTTTTTATAGACACTTCTATCCTTTTGGAAACCACTGTGACAGCAAAACTCTACTCTATCCCTTCTACCCTCCTTTCTTTCTTTGATAATATTTTTGTATAATTCCTGTTGGTATGAGCTTATAATAGCTGCCAAATTAGTCCTGGCTTAATTCTGCTGACTCTTATAAATCCATCTCTGGTATGATTATTTAATTTATCAAACTGGCACATACCAGTTTGCTGTAGTAGTATATTTTCTGCCTTGATTAGATGGTTCTGGTCTTGCTTTGATCCTAAACATCTACAAGATATATGTTAACAAAGATTATTTTTTTTTAAAACTTGCTGCTGTCTGACATAGAACACATTTGAATGGAATATGGTATTAAGTAATATAAGAGATCTATAAAGGACAGACCTCACTAGAGGACGATGTGACTGTGATACCATACCTCCTTCCCTTCCTCTCCCCCTAAATGCAGGAAGTAGTGGATCAAATTGTAAAGTCAGATCATATATAAAGCTTGTTTATATTTTTCTATTTGGTCTTTTTCTTCCGTCACTACATACAACTTGTGTAAAGTAGAATAGATGTATTTTAAATCAGTGAAGTTGCCTTTGTTTTGAAAATTGTGTAAATGAAAAGGGGAGCTGTTTCATTAAGGTATATAAACTTAATTAAATAGCAATGCATTTTAAATTAGTATTTAATTTACCATATCTGAATTAGTTGACACTGTCAATTTACCACATGAAGTTATGCCCTCTATACTTTTTTCTGGGTCAAAAGCTGTCTATTAAACCTTAATTGCTTTAATAGAGTACCAGCAGTTGCAGGAAAAAGTAGTTACTTCTCCAGTACAGATACTGTGGCCAGTCCCTGATTAGGTATCAGTAGTGTTTAAAAAACAAAACCTAAAACAAACAAACAAAACCCCAAGACCAAACCAAAAAACCCACCCTCCCCAAATAACCCAACAAAAACAAACCCCCACAAAAAAACCCACAACAAAATAAAACAACAAAAAAACCCAACCAAAAAGAACCAAAACAAAAAACCCCCCCAAACCCAACCAGACACCTCTCCCTCCAACCTGTAGGCATTCTGCATGTATGTGGAAAGATAGTGACAGTGTGAAGATTATATTTTGCTCCAAGATACAAAAATGTTTACTTACCAAGGTCTGCAAGATTGCACAAGGCCAACAGATCAACATGGACAAGTGGTTCACTCTCTGCATAATCAGTTAATATTCGGACTAGCGATGTGATTACTCCTATCTTCACCAGCTCTTCCTGAAGATCCCCTGGTAATAGTAAGCATGCGAATTAAAGGTAATTAAATAGAGACCAATTAAATTGATAAAAATGGTCCAACTGAGATGCTGTGCAGCGAGATAATGTGGTTCTTTCTCACATTGTTAGAATTTGTACAGCTTTTGTGCTGTGGGTTCAGGCTAATGTGTGTGTGTGGAAAATGCAGGTTCAGGACATAGTTTTGCTACTTTGACTCAAGGAATTAAGCCACTGTAAAAATGTATAAGGGCAATTGCATGAGCATCTCTGCTACTAGTGCAGCTTCTAAAGCAAGTTCTGATGGACTATATCTCTTGCTATGTATCTAAAAATTGAGTGAGGAATAGACAGTTGGCTTATTTCTCTCAGAGAATGGGAATCAGAATTATCCTATGGCTTCTTTTGTTCTGAAGGGAAGGGAGATAGAAGGCACATGAAACTCAAGATAAAGCATAGTCTAGTGACAACTCTGAATTCAGGGAATCATATAACAAATGTCCCCATACCTGCTTTTTGCATGTTAGAATAATGATTCTTTTTTATTTCTTACAAAAAGAAAAAAATAATCTTTGTAAAACAAGCCACTACCAATACCTGGGCTGTTATAAGATACCACTGAGAGACAGCCTTCTTTAAAGTTGATCTAAATGAATCATCCTCTTAGAGTTTTTTGAATGTTAGTTGCTCAGCATGTAGGGAGTATTGGAGTGCTTGAATTCAAGGTATCTTTGGCATTTTTACAGGCCTAATAAGGTTCTCAAACAGGTGTAAATTTGTGTCACTTGAGGGAAGCAAACGAAGTACAATAAGTAAAAATTAATTTTGTCCTCATTCTCATATACTAACTGCAGTCGTCTCCATGTGCATGCAGAATTGCTGAGGAGAACACTGGTATCTTTTCTTTCATTTTGTAGTTTGTCTTGTAATGAATGAAAGCTTCTAAAATGATTTTGAGACTGCCAAGAACCATGAAATACAGTTGGACAGGGGTTTCTTAACAGTACAATGACACTACTTTTGCACCAGTGTCTTGCTGAGAGCTAGACTACAACTTGTATGACAGCATGTGTGACAGACACCAGAAGGTGTCTGGGTGCTATAGTAGCATATAGAATTGTAATTCAATCAGGGAATAACTGAATTTAATTTTTCTATGTTTTATTTATTGTTGTATTAGTAATAAAAATTATTAAAACGTATCTTAGTCACAGTCATGTCAAATCTGTGCTGGGCCTGTGTTCTGACAGAAGTGAAGATTTGCAGTATGGCCATATGCCCTCATAATGCTGATGTATGGTAGTTGCATAAGCCTTGCATATAATCATATGGGGATGATTTTTTATAAACCTGTTATGTAGCATTCCTTGGCAAGTACATCTAATTTGCAGGGGGCTAGTAGAATCTGTATCATGCTTTGATTTCACAGGAACAGTGCAGGGAGGCAAACCTATAGCTTTCTTGATAAAGATACACAGGTCCACACTGGAAAGACAAGAGAAGGTAGGTTGAAGGCAGAAGGATATGGATAGAAGATACTGAATGTAAAATTCCCTATCACCTCCAGTAGGCAATAAAAATTTTTGGTCAGTCTGGGAATTAAAGGTAAAAGACAAAAATTACTGGGGCAAGTAAATTAAAAGGGTTTAATTTGTGAGACCAGCAGGCAAGCTAGTGTACTGGCTTTATAGAAAAATATGGAGCACAGAGATTTCCTCTATGCAAGGAATGGTCTTCTCTGAGGACCATTCCTTGCATAGATAAATATCTCAGTGGTTTTTGAGAGTATGTTTTTTTCTGACACAATTTTTAAACAAATGCTTTGCTTTATATAGATGTTGTTATTACTTTGGAAGAAGATAAAGCCATTCAGGATTTGGGCTCAAGGCAGTTCTGAAAAAACTGATTAAGATATGTATGAGGCTTTGCTACTCTTGCAGTTGCAGAGCAGTTCTGACAAAGATGCATCACCTTGAAGTCAAAAACATAGGGGGAAACCCAGAGTTTAGGAGGTGTTTGGGATGCAGTCAGCCTGGTGTTGGTGAGCTGTGTGAATTTTATATCTAACTGGAGGCTGAAGTTCATTGTGTGGTTAGGTCTCATTAAAAAAAAAAAAAAAGTTACAGGTGATAGCGCTTTATGAGATAATACCTTGCAGCTAGGGAAAATAGGATTCTCTCAAGTTGATACTTACGATTATCATAACAGATACGGCCAATAGCCCTCCCAGCATGAAGCAACATTTCTTGGTCTGTGCTCTCCAGAAAAGGTATCAAAGTTAGAACCAAATCTGCTTCAATACATGGTTTCTTCATTTCCTCTGTGTAGGTAAAGGAGACTTGTGTATTTTTGCCATGTTGAAATAAAACAATTTCAATTGCAAGACCAATAGCTGGTAGTCATGAAACAAAACTCAAGAGTGGAAACATACAGCTAATGTGCTTTAATATGCCTTGTAGTAACACTTTCGTACAACATACCATTCTTTACTATCTCCGAAAGCACCTGGGCTGCTTTCACTGCACATCGTGGGTTGCCCTTCAGGATTTTTGACAAAATGAGGAAGATCCCACTCTCTCTGAGGAGGCTGAAAGATCTCTGCTCTGTAATGATAAGAGTGTTAACAATACCTACAGTAGGTTTGCAACTGTTTTATTTACATGTTGCTTTGTTTCCTATGGTTCTGAGTGGATATCTGAGTCATCCAAGGTTCTGATTTAACAAGGTACTTAAAGGCTGTCTCAGTCTAAATATATGGGAACAGTCATCTGCTTGAATTGCATCAAGTATACTTCCAGCTGATTATTCTGCTTCATACTGAATTGAAGTGCGGGTGGCAAAGAGGGAAGCAGTTTCATCTTCTCTGACTATAAAAGGATGCTTGCAGAAGGCGTGGGAAGTCAGGGATTAAGATTCTATTCCTGAGGTATAGCCTAGTGACTAATTTTGTATGTAGGCACAACATCTTTTATTAGACTAGAAATTAGAACAGTCAATTCCCTTAGACTTTTTTCATCAAAAATATGTCTAGTTGTCCTTGAGGTGGTAAATCACCATCTGCCGGGAGATTCAATTAAATGCAGGTTTATGCCATTTCAGGAAAGTGTGCAGAGACCTTAAAGACTTTCTTATAAGGAGACTAGGGACTACTTTTGAATTCCTGACCTGATAGGATCACCCCAATTTAATCCTAGGAGTCTGTAGTAAATAATTATTAAATTTGGAATTTCTCTGCAGCTTCAGATGTTTTAGTGACCAGTTGCTTTATCTGGTCACAGGTAGGTTTGTGAGTATACAAAGTGAAAGGAAAACAACAGAACAGGCTGAGGATAGCTACTGTTCCCAGCAGCAATCACTTCTGGTCGTAGAGATTATCACAATAGATGAAAACCTTCAGTGAATGCTTTCGGATTATGCAAATGGTTAAATAGTGATCTGGAGTGATACTTAGCTATCTTCAGTAAGAGCCAGGAGAATCCCATTCAGACTTTCAAGGATCTGTTCTTCAGCTTCTGTGTCATCTTCACAGAGCCCAAGGTACTCCAGGTGCTGACTCAGAGTTTCTAAGCGGAATGGGATGGAAAAGTCTAGTGAGCCAGTATGGAAAATATTTTGATTTCTTTCTGGTATTTCTTTTCAGTGACAATGGCTGACCATAATATCATCTCCTGAAGGGTCCAGATCTAAATATGCTCATTAAATAACTAATTTAATCCAAGAGCATGAGGGCAAGGCTTGGTCCACTTCTCAGAGCATATCGCTCTTGTGCAGGCATAAATATGCAGAGATAAATTCTCTCTAGAAAAAGAAATTAACATATAATAACTATGGCAGAGTTTGAGGTAAGGAAGAGGGAGGAATAATTAGAAAATCCAAATCAAGCCTGTTAATTCTAAATACCTCTTTGTGATAAAGATAATACTTGCAGTTCCACTAGGTGTATATCCACTATGATAGAGGCCAGTAGCAGGCACTGAAAGAATGCAAGAATGAAACGGATACAGTAACATACTTCTCCCTTAATATCTGGCAACCTTGGCCTTTAGAAACATCTAGTATTTACATCAATGTATTTAATACATTTTGATGGACTTTTATTCCATTAATTTGTTTAATTACTTATTTAAGGTAATTTATAGTTTTAATCTCCACAGCACACTGTGACATTGTTTCACAAATTCACTGTTGTAAGAAGATATGTCCCTTCATTTTAAAATATCTACTAAAAAGCACAAAGCTACTGGCCTTTGAGTTTCTGTAGTAAGAGGAAGGAATGGTCCTTCACTATTTGCCTTTCTCGTGCTTGATTAGATGATTTGCTTTCTTGTCATGATTAGATGGATATTTATTATATTGCTCCTTTGTAATTCTTCTGCCAATTCATTTAATATTTCCTCTACAGAAGCTTTTATGACTTGCTTCAGACCTTTTCCAGTTCACTTTTATTCTTTTTTTTAGGTGAGGAGCTAGAATTCAAAAGTGTTTTCAAGATACAGGAGGACTTGGATTAAGACGGAGATTGTAATGTTTTGTATTCTACTCTTTTAATCCTTTGTCTATTTGAGAATGTGTTTAGTGCAACTATTAAAAATAAATCACTCTCTTCTGGGCAGAGGCAGTTAATTTAGACCCTGCTGTATTTCATAATTAGGCCATATTTTCCACATGTATGTTGTTCTGCGTTTACAGATGCTGGACTTTATGTGCCTCTGTATTCCAAGTCATACAGGATGATAAGATTTTTCTGTACCTCTCTACAGTCCGTTTTAATTTTGAGTATTACAAATAATCCAAAAACTCTTTACCATTCTGCTATTTCTAGATCACGAATATATTGAATTACATGGGTTCTAGCAAAGGTGTCCTCTAATAGTTACAGCTCTCTGTTGTGAAACAGTCTTTATTCTGCCCTTCAGACTTCATCAGATGGCCTTGTCCCGTATCCCAAGATAGTTTAGATGATAAACTGTATTGAAAGGTTTGTAGAAATCGAAATGCATTAACAGTATCTCCTTTATTCACCTTCTTGCCAGCTCCTTAAAAATGTTTTGAGAGACCGAGCATTACCTGCCTCCACAAAAGTCATATAGATTCTCCTTTTTTATCATATCTATGTTTAGTAAGTTTGTGCTTTATTATAATCCTACAAGTTACCTATGCAGAAATCAGCTTTCTGTAGTTTAATTTCCTGCATTCCGTGCAACGGTTCTTGTAAACTCATGCCACTCTTACTGCTCTCCTCCCTATTAATCCTGTAGTTGATTCAAACAGCATTCTGCATGTCACAGTTAGTGATTTGTCAGTTCATTTTTTTAAATTCCTTATAAACTCTGGGGAATAACATCCAGTCCTGACAATTAGTTACCATTTATTTTATTGATTTGTTCTAAATCAATCTTCTGCCCTTTCAATCTGAAGGTTCTTCTGTCCGTTTGTGAAAACAAAAAGACTTAAAGTGGTTGAAATGAATGTAAGAAATAATGCTGCAAAAATGATGGCTGAAGTAGTTAACTTATAGAAGAATATAATGTAAGATGTTACTGAAAATGTAGTAAAATAGCATTTATACTTCACAAACTGTGTCGTTGAAAAAGATGTCATGAGTCTTGGCCAAGAAATTCTTCAGCTGAGGATTAATAGTTTGTCATTTATTTTTGTTGTTTGATGGATTCACTATTTTCTTTACTTAATGTGTCCATTAGTTAATGCAAGTGGTTTTTAAAAATTAGAATGCGTTAATTTAGTGCATACAGGAATTTACTTCAGAGGAACCAAAAGTATCTTGGGAAGAGAGGATAAATTAAAGGGAGCAGAAGCAGAATATAATTAAAGTCTGGTTTTGTCCTTTGAGAAAAGAAATTCCTTGGCTTAAAAAATTACTACCAGTTATTTTAGAACAACAGCAATTTTGGTTTTGTGCTTGAAGCAAGATGCCATCTTTAGAAAAATGGCTGGATTTGTAAAGTTTTAAAGAAAAAATTATTACTTTGTATTTTTGTATTTTTTTTATTGATGAAAACAGACTGAAGACCCCTGGAATAGATAGATGTACAAGAAGGGTGATTTCCTTTGACCTCTTTTAAAAAATTAACATTGATCACTGGTTTCCATTTCTGTCCAGTTCTCCTACCACAATTTGCTGAATAAATGATTGTGGATGAATGAAGTACATGTAGAATACAATTTTCTTACAAAAAAAAAAAAAAAAGAAAAAAAAAGAAAAAAAAATCATCTGAGCAACCTGATAGTTGAATCAGCTTTGATCTTAAACTAGATCTAGTGGGAGTGGGCAGAACGCTACAACTGCTGATAAAGCAACATGGAATAAATGAGGAGCCTGTGAGAATGAACCATCTACTGAACCCTGACTTCATGCTTATAAAGACCCAAAATATGTTGGCTTGAGGTAATGCATTTACCTTCTATTACTCTATCCTCTAATTAGAACAGTAGCGGTATTTGCAACTACATATCTAATAGAGTTAGGATGTATTGAAAGATGAAAAGTGACTGTATCTCTGAAGTTGGAGAAGATTGTTTTACAAATAGCAGGGAACAGTCTACATTATTGGTCACTCATTAGGTTGGCATAGTGGTTAACTAGAAATATAGGTGGTTTGTTATTTCTCCAGGGAATAGATCAGTAGAATAACACCATACACAGGATGACAGACAAAGTCCTTGTAAAATAATCCTCTGGTTACAGTCTGCAGTGTTGTGAAATTAGTGTTATAAGCAGTAGAATCAACCGAGAGCTATTTTTATGAATGTCTTGCAGAAGGCACTATTTAACTATAACAGTCTTAAAATAGAATCATAGAATGGTTTGGGTTTGAAAGGGACCTTAAAGATCATCTAGTCCCACCCCCACCTTCCACTAGCCCAGGTTGCTCAAAGCCTCATCCAGCCTGGCCTTGAACACTTCCAGGGAGGGGGCATCCACAACTTCCTTGGGCAACCTGTTCCTGTGAGGTCTCACCACTCTCACAGGAAAGAATTTCTTACTAATATCTAATCTAAACCTACCCTCTTCCAATTTAACACTGTTACTCCTTGTTCTGTCACTACCTGCCCTTGTCAAAAGTCCCTCCCCAGCTTTCTTGTGGGCCCCCTTCAGATATTGGAAGGTGTCTATAAGGTCTCCCAAGAGAGGCTGAACAGCCCAAACTCTCTCAGCCTGTCCTCACAGCAGAGCTGCTCCAGCCCTCGGATCATCCTCATGGCCTCCTCTGGACTCGTTTTAACATGTCCATGTCTTTCTTGTGTTGGGGGCTCCAGAACAGGACACAGTACTCCAGATGGGGCCTTATGAGAGCGGAGTAGAGGGGCAGAATCACCTCCCTCAACCTGCTGCCCTCGCTTCTCTTGATGCAGCCCAGGATATGGTTATTGGTCTTCTGGCCTGTGATTGTGCATTACCAGCTCATGTTGAGCTTCTCATCTACCAGCATCCCCAAGTCCTTTTCCTCAGGGCTACTCTCTGTACAGCCTGTATTTGTGCTTGAGATTGCCCCTACACAGATGCAGGAGCTTGCACTTGGCCTTGTTGAACTTCATGAGATTTGCACAGGCCCACCTCTTCAGCCTGTCAAGGTCCCTGTAGATGGCATCCCATCCCTCCAGCGTGTCAGCCGCACCACTCAGCTTAGTGTCATTGTCAGACTTGCTGAGGGTGCACTCAATCCTACTGTCCATGTAGCTGACAAAGATGTTAAACAGTGGTGGTCCCAATACTGATCCCTGAGGGACGCTACTCGTCACCTGTCTTCACTTGGACTTTGAGCCATTGACTGCAACTCTTTGAGTGAGACCATCCAGCCAATTCCTTATCCACCGAGTTGTCCGTCCATCCAGCCTATGTCTCTCCAACTTAGAGACAAGGATGTTGTGCAGGACAGTGTTAAATGCCTTGCAAAAATCCAGGTAGATGACATCAGTTGCTCTTCACTTATCCATCAATGCTGTAACGCTGTCATAGAAGGCTACCAAATTGGTGAGGCACAATTTGCCCTTGGTGAAGCTGTGTTGGCTGTCACCAGTCACCTCCTCACTTCCCATGTGCCTTAGCATAGTTTCCAGGAGTATCTGTTCCATGATCTTGTCAGGCACAGAGGTGAAACTGACTGGTCTGTTGTTCCCTGAATCTTCCTTGTTCCCCTTTTTAAAAATGGGGGTTATGTTTCCCCTTTTCCAGATACTGAACCCTTTTCTCAGATACTCAGAATTTTATCATGTTGTATGTAGTTATAAAAACTTGCTTAACTTAATCAACATGGGACTGTTTTCTCAGTACTCATTGTCTTTAGGTCCATGTTTCTGAAGTGGAATTGAAGAAGACACTGTAAGACGCAGTTATTTTTGTGGAGAGGCAATAATAACAGCACACATACAGATTGTGACTAAAATTTGACAGAAAAGGGTATTTCTGTTTTGTGGAAAATTCCGAGTTGTTGACATTTTGTTTCATCCCATACTGGAACAGAACGTCGACATTGTGGAACTTCAGGCAAAACAGAACAATTTGTTTCAGTTTTTTTGCAAATGTGCTTCACCAGCCAGGAGCTGCCTGGTACACTGGCCTGCTGCCCTGCTGGCTGGTAGGCAAACTGGAAAGAAGCCATCCAGGCTAGCCAGCTGGTCAGGCAGCAGGGAGTGCCTGCCCGCCTGGTTTCTGAGAAGGGTTTTAGCAGAATAATCATGTTCCCAAGGAATATTTTTCATTCTCTTGAATCAGCATTTTTATCAGAATATTGTTGATCAACTGTAGTAATTCGCTGTAGAAGCAGGGGGAATGGACTCGGGGTCTGATCTAGAAAGGTCTAATTTCACTTTCTCAGTGATTACCTGGAGGGTATGAATTTAGACATCTCTGGAGATTGCAGTACAAAAGGCTTTTTTCCCCTAAGATGAAGGGCTAGATTATTAATTCACGCATAAATGTGTGTATAAGCTACTGAACAGAGGCATAGGAACCAGACCTTTGCTGTGGGAGTTCGTTTTTGATCATCCTAATGAGAGCAGAAACAATAATGCAGAAAACACGCTGCACCACAGAGGTTTCATCACACCTCTGTAGTGGTGAAAGAGACATGAGATGTGAGCTCTTCAGATCCCTTGGACTGTTGCTGTGTCAATTCCAAGTGCAAGTTTTGACCTATAAAGTCCTCAGGGAGTGAGAAAGAATTCCTCACATCTCTCTTTTTCAGTGACTGATTATGCCCCTTCTTAAGAAGGCAATGCCTT